TGCAACATTAACCATCCTGACGAATGCGTTGCCTTTTAATGAATCCGGCCTCTCCGGCCAGCCCTCTGTGGCTGGGGGCCCTTTAGACCCCTCCTTGGCCTCTCACAACCCACACCTGGAGTTCATGTCTGAGTGATTTCCTCACTCAACAGCCTGATTTTGAAAGCGCAGACAAGGGAGGGGGACAAGGGCTGTCAGGGGACAGCCACTGCTGAGCGAGTGTCTAATACGCATCAGCTCTTGGGCTCTGTACTCGCCGGCATTTATGACCCTCACCACTACGCTGCCCATGCAGCAGACGAGAAGTCAAGTAACTATTCCCAAGGCCACGGAGCTAAGAGAGGCCGAGTCTGGCTTCCAACACAGGTCTACCCCGGTTCTAAAACTCGCCTCACAGCACTCTGCTGCCTTCGTGTTACATCTCCAACGGCTTTCAGCCCACTCCAAAGCCCACCCTGGGCCGCATTCTCTAACGGCCCCCAGAACAAAGCTGGCCATGTATACAGGGCAACGGATATAGGATTCTGGGCAGGGTCCAAAGAGTGGACTTGCCTCTTGGGAGGGAAAACTTCAGATCAGGGTTTGAAGAGCTTCACTCCACGGAGGGTGAGAATTCGGCTCTGAGCATAAGCTTCGACATCGATCAGGGACTTTCCAGCCAGACTCCCAGCAAATACATCAAATCAGAGCCCGGGACATAAGCCAGCCAAGTGTCAGCTCCACAGAAAGAGACACGAGGCAGGAGAGGAGAGGGGACCGTGGAAGGAAGCTTCCAGGGCCCCCTTATTGTCTTAATCGAACCAGCTGGCAATGAATGAGTGCCATGCGTCCAGCACGGTGCTGGGGCAGGGGACACCGGAGAGAGCAGATGTCATCCTCTCTGCCAGATGAACTAATAACCACGTCACCTACAGCAATGACTCTCATCCTGTGCTCTCCGTCTTTCCTGGGCACCTGCACCCACTCAGTGACTCAAGATGGAAATAAGAGAGTCGCTTGGGACTCGTCCATGCCCCACACCTGGCTGGCTCCCGGAGCCCCTTCCTCCGAACATTCCCTGTGCTCCGTATCCCCACAGCCCCTGCAGCGGCTCCCTGAGTCAGCTCCCACCTTCGGTCTCCTCCTCTGCCTTCTCCTCCGTGTGGTCAGAGGGGTCACCCTACACCGCACATGGCACGCAGAGCCCTAGTGCTCCCCGCTGCCCTTGGGATGGTGTCAAAGTCCCCAACATGGTTTTCCAGGCCCTGCCACCCAGAGGACGCTGTACCCCCCACCTTCCCCTCCTACAACACTGATCACCCCACGCTTTTCCCGCCTCTGTACCGGGGTTTCTCGCCCTCAGCACTACTGACATTTGGGGCCAGATAACCCTTTGCTGTGGGGTCTGTGTGTTGTAGGAAGTTCAGCACTGTCCCTGGTCTATGTCTATTAAATGCCAGTCACTCATCCTCTCAAATGGGTCAATCAAAGATATCTCCAGATGCCGCCAAATGGGAACCCCCCCACCCTCCGCCCGAGGGGACAAAAATTCCCCAGGGGAGAATTGCCCATGAAAGGCCCTCGTCCTCCTTTCCTTTCATCTGGGCCTGACTTCCTCCTCCTCCTCCTCCTCCTCATTATCATGTTAAGATTTGGTTTAGCCGCATCACCTCCCAGAAGCCTCCCCAGCTCACCCAGAGTGGTCCGGGGGCAACCTCTCGCAAGCCCCTTCCCCACTTCCCGTCGCTCAGTCCCACCGCTGCTCCCGTCACACGGCATTCGACTGATCTGTTGATGTGCGGTCACCCCCTTTGTAAGGGGGGCCCCTCAGAACCCCCCACCAGGCCGTGGAAGCACTGACTGCATGAACCTAAAGAAGCATGACAGAGCAGCACACTCAGAAACCACCCAGGGAGGCGCGATGGCTTCTCACCAGAGGCAGAGGAGGCTGTGGGCGGAGCGGGGACACAGAGGGAGAAAGATGGAGGGGGTCACACCGGCCAGACGAAGGGCATTGCAGGGAGCAGGCTGAACAAAGGCAGCGAGGTGCGGATGTCAAGGTGAGACTGGGAAATGACGTGGCTGGAGCCCAGTTTGGGGGCTGTGGGAGAGGTAACGGGGGAAGGATGTTAGAGCAGATAGCGGCCAGGTCATGAAGACCTTGGGATATGTTCTGCAGCCCAAGATGTACTCAGCAAGAAGTGAAATTTGAAAGAGAAAACCAAGTTTTATGGTCATACAAGTTTAAGAAATGTTTTGTTAGCAGTCAAACAGGTTTCTGTATTGCAGGACTTCTCAGAGCCTTTAATATGCTCACATGCCGAGAGAATCTTTACGAGGGGGAAATGCGGCGTTGCCCACACATAGTAACTGACCATGGGGGTGTTTTTTTTTCCCTCAGAGCCTCGCAAATGACCAGCGTCCCACGCTCTACCCTTTGGAAAATGCTGCTTGAAGCCGAGACTCATGAGCTGCAACTTGAAGGGGGCCCAAGGTAAGGACGATCTGGGTTTGGGGACAACGGCTCTAGGGGTCGTTCCAAGACCTCAGAGCCAATGCTGGGGCCTCGGCCACTAGCTCAGCCCCCATCCCAGCCCCTCACTCCCCAGCACTGAGAAGTGAAACAGGCTGCTGAGAGGTGACTACAGGAAGGGCTGGGGAGGCAGTGCAAAATTTATTGTAGGAAAGCAGTCGGCCCACGGGACCGCTCCCACCACCTCCCCAGGCCCCCGGGCCATAACATATGGTGTGGTTTAAATTTTAAAAACTGAGGAGTACTTAAGGAAAAAATGTTGGCAGGCTCTGAGGTACTTGTAAACCGTCTGAGCTGACGGAGAGTCTGGGCCGCCCCCACCTCCCCAGCATTGAGCAGGAGTAGAGAGGTCTGGAGGGCCCAGGTTGGGGTCCTCCAGCAGAAGCTTCTGGATGAGGCTGGCCAAGGCGGGAGAGGGAGAAGCGGCCCCTACCACAGCCCATGGATGGGCTGAAGGAGCCGATGAGGCTGGGCAAAGACCCAATCCGCCCTCACTGAGATTGGCTAAGCCAGCAGAGCCCGGGGGCGGGGGGACGTGGAGGGCAGCAAGGGGCAGGGGACAGGGGACAGACCAAGGAGTCCCGGGTTACCGTGACCTGGGCTCAAGCCCTGGCCCCTGGCTGGGTGACCTGGGACAGTGACAGCCCCCCCTGAGCCTCCCCGTCCTCATTGGGAAGGTGGGGCCAACAGAATCACATCACGTGGTGACAGCGAGGACTAAGTGAGACGGCGCCTGGACACAGTGGGTCCTCGACACGTGTTAGCTGCCACAACCGCCACCGTCTGGAGGGAACCCAAGCAGGTGAGCAGCCCCGAAGGGGCCCAGATGGAGAGGTGGACGGGCAAAGCCGAGCCACTGTGGAAACTGCCTGCACAGAGGGCAGCTGAAGGTCCCACCAGCCGCGCCCACAGCAGCTTCCTCCCCATCGGCTCTGGGAGCCGCCCGTCAACAGGGCTGTCTCTCCTCGTGTAGAGGCTGGAAGCATCACAGAACATCCAGGCGCCTGTGGCTCCCTGCGGTGCTCAGCCAGGGAGCTGGTGTTCTTGCAGCCCCCTGGGGTGAGGGAGCTACGGCGGGTGTACACCCCTCGTGTCACCCTGGGTGCAGCTGGGCAGCCCAGCTGGGGCTGGAGCAGCTGCTATATGTGACCTGCATCCTTCGTTCCACAATCCCACCTGTGTCTCCTGAGTGGAAGTCAGCGTGAGTAGCTGCAGCATCCACGTTTCAGTGACACCAGCCACGGGAGTGAGTGCCACCAAGGTGGCAGGTGCTTAAGGCCTTTTGAATTAAGCTGATTAGGAATCGAATGATCGATTAATACTCTCGGAGGGGCCAGGGGCTGCCTTCCTTCCAGGCCTAAAGGTCAGCTCCTGGGCGTCTCTGTGCCTTGTTGGCAACACAATCCCCGCTGCCTGGAAGCACCGCACCTCCTGCTTCCCGTTGTTTGGTCTTTGTGACTCCCTTGTCACTCCCTCCGTGTGGGCTCAGAGAGGACAGAACCTGTGACTGTCCAGTTTGCAGGGACCGTCTGCAATGATCTGCTCAAGCCTCACCCATCCTGCAGCAAAGAACACTGAGGCCCAGGAAGTCCTTGGTCCCACGGAGAGTCAGGGGTAGGATGGTTTCCTGACCTATGTGCCCGAAGCCACCCCTGCCACATTGTGTGGACAAACAGCCAGGACCTCGTCACACAAGCTTGGTGACCTCCGTCTACTGGCAGCCTGAGACATGGGGAGCCCCCTTCCTGCGGGACCAGTGCCTAGTGTCCAGTCCAGGGTGAGGACGAAGCCACCACTGGCCCACAGGGGTGCAGGACACACCCAAAGCAGTTTGCATGCAGGTGTCATCTCAGGCTCTCCAGGCCTCTGGGAGGCGGGTCTGGCAGGGACAGCCACTTTTGAGAAAGGGAAACTGAGGCCCAGAGAGGGAGCATGACTTGATCGCACAGGTAGAACACGGGGACCAGAACCCAGGCTCCCAGGCCAGGCTCTCTGAACTGGAAGGAGAACACATTATCCGTCAAGTCGGGGGTAAGAAGACGTGAGTTCCAGGGCCTCCAGGACCCTGGGGGTGGGGGTGGTGTTGCCTCTCTTCCTTCAGCCATGACGGGGTGCTCCTGAGGTGGGGTCGGGTGGCCTCTCGCCCTTCAGCACACTCCAGAAACCACTTCCGAATACTCTGCATTCTAACGTGTTCAGATGCCATTGCCTCTGCCAACACAGCTGTAGCCACCCCTTTCCCTGCTGACCACCCTCGGGCCCTTCCCCACCTCACTGGCCTCTCAGAAACACCCGCACTGGCCTGGCCTCGATCACCCGCTTTGGCCCTGTCAGGCATGTGTGCCCTCTGGGGCAGGCTGAGAATTCTGGATCTCTGGAGACCAATGGCAGCCACCAGCCAGGTGCCTTCCTGGCATAGATCTGGGGGCTCGCATTCCTGGGTAAGGCCTCCCATCCCTCTTGCTGCGGGGCCCGGGCAGCCTCTTACCTTTGGGGTGAGGTACTTGGTCATAACTTCCTTCCCTTTTTCTCCCAGTTTTTCATCCGGAGTAACTTCATATTCTGCCTAAAACAGAAGAAGGAAAAGAACCATCATAGATTTACTCATGAGCTTCTTATAGTTCCAGAGCCTTGGAGGCTCTTGGACAAGACACCCTGGAGGTCACCTGACCAATCCCCTCCTCCTGCAGGGCAGGGCGCCATCCGTGGACATGTGCTGAGAACGGCAGCTCTCCTCCCTGGCTGCACGTTAGAATCATTAGAATCGCTGAGGAGCAGACACTGGCCCGTGGGCCCCGCCCCACCCACTGAGTCAGACCTTCTGGTGATGAGGGCCAGGCATCCAGGCAGCCAGAGTTGAGAAGCACCGACTTAGATAAATCGAGGGAAGCCACTGAAAAACAGCAAGTCACCGAACTGGAAGGCCCCCCCCAGAGGCTGCTTTAGGTCACTCAGACCTTACAAGTTGCGTGACTTCAGACAATTTTCTTAACTTCTATAAAATGCAGATGGAAAAGAATGTGATAAAGCTCTTAGCCCAGAGCTGGGCACATAACACGCGGTTAACAGTTGCCATAATGATCACCACCGTTATTACACCTCGCAAGAGAACAATAATTTGGAGGCTTTACTTTTTTCAGCTTATAAATGAACATACAGAGGCTGCATGTTCAGATGCTCTTATCTGAAACTCAGACAAGCCTAGGTAGCGAAGTGGGAGGAGGACCAGGGCTGCCATAGCAACCCTTCATCCGCATCTAAAGAACGGGAGACGCAGTAGAGCGTCCGAGGTCATCCAAGGGGAGGTGGCGGGGCTGGGACTTGGACCTCCAAGCCTGGAGCTCTTTCTCAGCGACACCAAGGAGGTTAGGACTCCAGGTCGCAGGCCAAGCTGGTGGGACCTGGGCTATAAGGAAGTGAGGCCTCTGAAAGGCGGCCTTTTTATGTCCTCGACCTAAAAGGCTCCTTCACTCGCATCTGATGCATTTGCCAAGTGGACAGAAGGCCTGGCGTTAACGAGAAGCCTGGGTAAGCTTGCCTTTCTCATTTACACAAGAGAACGAAATGCAAATTGTTTATAACCACTTCAAAATCTACCAACCAAGGATTTGTCGGTCTTAGTCCAGAAGTACAGCTATTTCAAAAGACTCAGAGACAATGACATCAGCACAGAGTGAAACTCCTCCCCGGTCTGTCTCACTGTAGAGTTAGACACCCCAGCTCTCCTGGCCCGGTCTGGGCACCCTCTCAAGCCAATGTCTAGGGGCCCATTTCTCCGCAGGCCCGCCCAGAAGACCCACCTGGGAGAAGAGAAGCGGCGGGCAGTACTGGAGTGCGCCCAGAGGCAGTCCGGCACACTTCCAAACAAAGTGCGTGAGTTTCCTTTTGTTACCATTTCTGTCGTCTGATGACGAATCGAGATTCAACAATTTTCTCCAAGGAAGAAACGTTGCCACTATAATCTTTTGAATCACAGGACTATGGGATGGTGGTTCTGGAAGGAATCGACCCACTTACTATACAGAGCTGGACGCCGAGGCTCGGAGGAGTGAGGGACTGGCCCAAGGTCACAGAGCTGGCCATAGCAGAGCCAGGACAGAAGCGCAGGCCCTCTGACCTCCGCTGGTCACCCACCTCAGCACCTCTCTCTCCAAGGGCCAGTGCCTCACCATTACGATGAGCCCGTGGGACGGATCATTTCTTGATGATTTGATTTGATTGATGACGTCTTGAGTCCATTTAAGGAGAGAAGGTGGCTCTTTCTCCTTGAGTTTTTCCTGTTATCTCCTCCTTCTGTGCTCCCCAGCAGCCCCCCAAAACTGACACATGTACGCGCACACACCCACACACAGTATGGAGTAGATTGACAGGCTTACCCAACAAAGTAGGTATTATTCTCAATTTATAGATGAAGAAACTGAGGCTCTCAGAGGTCACATATAACCAGTTCAAATACGACAGAGCGAGCAAATGACAGGGCCGGGAGGTGCGTCTGTACAGGGGTGAGAATCCTAGAGCACAACCGACCACCCTTTTTCTAGGGCGAGGAGAGAAGTGTCCACTGTCCTGGAACCCCTGCCTAGTGGTCTGGCACCATGGGAATTTACCCAGACTGCTTTGCAAGGCCCAGGCCCTGGGCAAATGGCCGACCACCTTTTGGGGTAACTCAATCTCATGCTGGACCCTGGATTTGTACTGTCCCAAATACATCTGTGAAGTCAGCTCTATTTAACCAAATGCAGGCCTGAGGTTCACTAATCAGCCTCAATAACCAGCTGAAAATATTATTGCTCTAGGTACTGAAACCCACGTTAAAAAAAAATAACATTGCTTTCAGGTCAGCTGCCTCCCAGCAGAGGCCTGTCTGGGCAGCTGGGCGCCACAGTTCCACAGGGAGGCAGCCGGGAGCACGCGGGGACAGGCATCCCGGCCCGGGATCAAAAGGCCTTTCTTTGAGAGTCCACGTCAGGTCACCACCACTTGAGCAGCATTTGTGTTGGGAGGGAGAAAACCAACAGAAGGCTTCCAGCTGGGCTTTCCACACTGATTAAGTCACCTGGAGTGACAGGCCATGTTTCCACAGTGATCCCTGAGAGGGGCTCATGGGGGACAGTCTTGAGAGGCCACCTGCAGAGAGAAGGCACCGTGGCGGCTCATCCCGGTGGGCAGACCTCAGGTAGATCACACTACCCAAGGCGGGGGACCACCCGGGAACCCACCGCTATGCGGACACCCTTGCCCAGGTAGTGGGCACAAGCTGCTGGAATCAGCTTAAACCAGAAAACATAAGCAGCAAAGAAGAGGTTGGGCCGCCAGCCTAGAATATTATAATTAGAGCTTGGGAAATGGCAACCAGACAATATCTTCAATGACGAGAGGTAAACCACATGCAAGGCATGGCCCTGTGACCTCCATCTGTAAGAGGATTTCCTCCAGCCGGAGAGGGTGGTAGGCCTTATCCCCTCCCCCAGCACAGGGGACACACATGGTCCCTCCTCTCTGCTCTAACGCCCATTTGAAACCTTCTCCTGCCCAGAGCTCGACCCTAACAGCCAGAGCACCGAAGAGCACTTATGCCAGTCTATGCGGAGGGTATTTCTCTTCCCCAGATACATCCGCGGTACCAGCCTAGGAAGGCACCATTTACTGAGCCTTCTCTGTGCACTGTGATTTACACCAAGCACAGGCATAATCTTTGTGGAGGAGACGCTGCTCTAACACAAAGAGTAAAATACTACATTGAGTTTAAGGCAACAGGAATTATTTACATATCTGTGATAGCCAGAGGTATAAGGACATCCTAGTTTATAAACCTGATAATTCATTTTCTTGGCCTGCTCTCACTGCATCGTCGATCTCAGAAAATGCTGGTGAAAATACATCCGCTCTGTTACGAAGACAGATTTCCTTCAGATGGTTTTTAAAACCATGAAGATTGCAAGCTGGCAAAAGGGGACCTGGCATATTCTCAAAGCAACTGGTTTAAAGAGCGGAGTCTGAGCTGAATTCCCCTTGGCCTCCGACTGACTTTAGATGTCACCTCCTTCTCCCAGGAGACTGTCTCCTGCCCTGACAGGATGATGAAGTCAGAGATGCTATGAGGTCTTGCCACCTCCGGCTTCTGTAATTAACGATGTGGTCAGCTTTTCCAGAGTCCTCACGGCAGGGGCCAGTGACGCGGCTGGCTGCTCACCACGGCCCTTTCTGGAGAAATACCCAGCTCCGCCCGCAGTGGCCTTGGTGACTTGCCTGTGCTGACCACGGGGGCCGGGGCGGTCCTCATTCCCTCCTTGGGAGCTACTTTCCATCATGCTGCAGGGCAGGTGAGAATGAGGGGAGTAGTTATCTGCTGGCGCCCCCTCCGCTTGGGCACCATGGGCTCCCGCACCCCTCTTTTGAATGCCCAGCTCTTGTGTGCTGCTGCCTGAGCAGACACTCTGACCTCTGGCCGCCATCTGAGGAGCCCACTTGCGTCTGGGTCAGGAAGGAATTCACTGGCCTCCATAGGGCAGCAGATGGGACAGGACCAGAGAAAGAAGGGAGGGAGGAGTGGACCACTGGCCATGGTGGGGCACAGACTGAGAGTGGTAGGAGTGACCCTAAGGTGACCCTATAGCACCATAGCCACCAGCTTGTCAGGCATGTTCTGCTGGGGCACACGCTAGAAAGAAGGACGGAGAACAAGGCTGTGCACCTCTCTCGGATGGAGGCGATAAATCTGCCAGCAGCTGTCAGAGGGCTGCGTCGTCACCTCCTGTCTGCCCGTCATTCTCCTGAGAGCCTCGGCCCTGAGTGGCTCTCCCCCACCCTCCACTGCCCAGCTGCTTCTCTTCCTCCCCCAGCCCCCAGAATTATTCTCTGTCCTCATTCCCTGCCTAGGCTCATAAGGCCACCATGCAAAGGTCTTTGACTCTCTCTGTTACTCCTTCGGTTCTAAGGGGAAAGAAGCCCACCTGAACCGGTTCAGGTGAAACTGGGATCTCTTGGCTCCTGGAATCCAAGGATGGGTTGAGCAACCAAACTTGGAGAGAATGGAAATGTAGCTGGGCCCAGAGCACCAGGAACCAAGGATATGAGCGCCTCTGAAACCCACTCTGTGTGTGTGTGTGTCCGTGTGTTTGCATGTGTGCCCACGCGCGTGTGCCAGCCTCATTCTCTTTCAGGGCTCACGGGCTTGCTCCAGTGGTAGGAAACGTGGCAGTCAATGGCTCTCAGGGTTTTTACTCTAAGCCTTCTCTACCAGATAAGTGTATAAAACTCAGAAAAAGGCCTCAGGCTCCTCCCTGCTCCGGCCAATGGTGATTTGGGGGTGACATCATCAGGAACGTGGCAGCTTCTAGGGGAGCCATGTTTGGAAGCATGGGTGGGGCACCCAGGAGAACCCCATCTATAAGTGGTACTTTTCCAAGATGACCTTGCTCCCAGGTTCTGGCCTTACCAACTGCTGGAGGGTTTCTATATCCATCTGAAGAATGATTACCTCCCCTCACCCTGCCTCTTTTGGGAGGTCTCAGCAGTGACAGAAAGACAAAGACAAATACTGGGTATTTGTCTCTTCTCATGAAT